GGAGATTTCAGCTTCCAAAACACGGCCGTGAGTCAGGCGCCTCCTTCCCGCCGTTTTTTGGGTGGTCTGGGACAAGCTGGGACAGGCGCTGGCTCTCCAGGCTTCCTGGCAGCGCACAGGAGCCCCAGGGCTGGCAGTCCTGCCCCGGCATCCTAGAGGGGGTCTGCCCCGTGCTGCCGGTGCCAGGAGCCCATGGGGATTTGGGGCTTCCCTGGGGGCTGGCAGCCTGACAGGGGTCTGTCCTCTGCTGGGCACCCCCCGCTGTCCCCAAGGCCACCGATGCCCACAGCTGTGGCCCCCTGACCCCGTGCAAAGCCCCGCAGCGGGGAGCCAGGATTGTGACCAGAGGGGATGGGGCAGTGTGCCACAGGGAGGGGCACCCAAAGCCCCTGGAGTCCCCAGCACGGGGACCATGGGGACCACAGAGGTGAGGGTGCCTTCTGGGGACCTCTCGGTATGCTGGCCTAGCCCTGGCCTTCATCCTCCGCGGCAGAGCCCCCGAGGGCAGTGAGATGGCCTGTGCCAGATGCTGCGGTCAGCCGCAGCCTCCTGCAGGACCCCCCGGGTGGGGAGGGCGGCTGCGCCCCGTGGCCGCAGCGTGCCAGCAATTTGCAAATAAAACAAACAACCGGGAGCAGGGAATGTCTGGGTCTGTCCCCAGAGACGGCCACGACGCCGGGCAAAGTCGCATGCTGTGTGCATGTCAGCTGAGACCCAGCAGCAGCTCAGCACATGTCCCCCCGGCTGGCGTGGGCAGCTCCTGGCCCCTGTGCCCGCGGCTGCCCAGCTCCCTCCGGGGCAAGCGCCCATCTGCATGCCCAAGCGTGCTGGGGAGGTGGGTGAGGCTCTCGACGGGATCCCCGGGGGCTCTGCCAGCGCAGCCGGGCGGCTGGGAGCCCATCTGCCCCCGGGAGGTGTCTGTGGTTCCCCTGTTTGGGGGGGGTCCCTTAGCACAGTGGGGAGGGTGTGGTGTGGGACAGGATGGGACAGGACAAGATGAGACAGGATGGGATGAGACGGGGTGGGACGGGACGGGATGGGGAGCCCCACCCCGGCGGGAAGGCAGCTCCAGTGCTGCTGGGGATGCTCCGTGGGGTGGCAGCGCCTGGATGCGGATCCTGGTTCCTCCGGGGCAAGGCCTGGTCCTGAGTGGGGGCTGTCACTTCCCTCCTTCCTCCTGCACCCCCTGCTCCATCCACCTCAGCCCAGGACACACCGGGGGTCTAGCTGGGGACCGGAGCAGAAATGGGAGCAGTGGGACGGCCAGAGAGGGGGTTGCAGTGTGGCAGGGGAAGGACAGGAGAGGGGAAAGCTGGGAAAAACCAGCCCCTGTTGAGATGGGCAGCAGCCGCCCTGGGCAGTGTGGGGTTAAGGATTGGCCCCAATCAGCCCTCCTGGGCTCAGCTGCCCACCAGGAGATTAAAAGGGGCTAAAAGCCCCTGCCCAGGCTCTGCTGGCTCCCTGGGCAGGCGGGTCTTGGGCTTGGTCTCCCCATCATGTCCCTGGGGCAGGGGCAGGGGCAGGGGCAGGGGGGGGGGGAGGGGGAGTGTCCGTGGGGCCCCTGCCTGTCCCAGAGCTGGGGGCTGTGGCCCCCCCTGTAAGGGGCAGCAGGGTGGGTAGAGGGAAGGTGAATGGGCAGAGTTCTGGGAACGAGGTTTTATTGAGGAAGGCAAATGCTGTCACTGCAAAAGGCCAAATGAGGTGCTGGGGCTTCTTGTACAGCCTGGGGGGGATGCGTCTCCCCTCGCCAAGAGGCAGAGTCGGTCTCCTGCCCTGCCCTGGGTCAAGGAGTCCTGAGCAACAGCTCCCAAACCCCCCCTGGAGCTGGGAGGACATGGGAGTCCTGGCCCTCTTCTCCCCTCCTGGGCGCTGCCAGGCAGCCAAGACACCTCAGCCCCTCTCCCTGCAGCCCATCTGCCCATGGGACCCCCTCCCAGCCCCAGCTAGGGCTTTGGCTGCCCCTTCTGATGGTGGTGCCCCTGCACAGTGCGATGCACCCAGTTGATGTAGTTGGAGATCTTGGTGTAGATGTCAGGGTACCGGCGGTCCCCACATCTCTCCCCAGAGAACGAGACGATGCCGTAAACCTTTTTCCTGAAGATCAGGGGTCCCCCAGAGTCGCCCTGCAAAGCAAAGGGGTGGGAGGGAGACTAGCGGGTCTCCTGGAGGGGGATGGCTGGGGGGGACAGGGGCAGGAGG